CAGTGATCACTAATGCTCTTGTGTCTCAAATGGAGCAGGTTCAACATCTGTCTGCACTTTTAGAAAAATCGGAGCTGTTCCAGTAGCAAACTAATCGCTATTGTTTTGAATTAAAAGGTTAAACCATCACATATTGTTACAAAATCTGTCCACATACTTTTGACCACATAGTGCGCCTGATTCTTTTACCTTTCTCTTTGTCCTCAGCGTTTCTCTCTCACCCATCACTTCACAGCCTCTCTCGCTCTCTCAACATGTCACTCTGCAGGGTGTCATGTTGCCCACGGCACCTGTTGCCCGTTGGGGGTGGCACAATAAGCGCACACACTTGTACATAGACACACTCGACTTATTTGAAAAGGCAGTGTTCATTAATAGAAGTCTTGCAGAGCGTAGAGGGGGCTTCCCGCTCATAGCAAGGGCAACACACACACACACACACACACTCACATACCCATATGACAGCAACCTTCCCAGCAGGCTGAATGATGGCTACGCACAAACCCTGGAGTTCACCCTCATTAAAGCGGCACACACAGCAGTAGCTGACTGCACAGGTACAGCTCACAACAGCAGCTGGTGTCAGCTCTTAAAGGTTACCATAAACTTCCCTCAGTGGAAAACACAGCAGATCCAGCCTGATTAGAAAAACACAGTGTCTACCCCAAACCTCTGTTCATTAAAGTTAATGAGTCAAACCTCAAAACACAAAGGTTATCCTTGACTTTAATTACAACAAAGAAAATCACCCCACATACCTTGGTTCTGCTCCAGAGGAGAAACACCTGTGACATGGTGCTGCAGCAGTAGCTGTATCTAAAAACACAGAGAAACAAAGGACACAGATTTATGATGATTCTGCTCAGAACCTTTCTTCACAGTTTTCACCCATTAGTCCCAACAGCCCGTTGTTGCTGTACTTTCGCTGTTTTGCTAAAATGAGCTGAGAGAAGAAGCCCTGCTCCGTCAGCATCTGTAACCAAACATTCCTCTAATTTTCTGTTCACATTAAAAGAGAATTTGAAATGTACAACTATGACTTCTAGACAGTTTGTACTCTTCACCATTTTCAACAAGGACAAAAATATTTTGTTGGCATTTCATAACATATCCCATGTGCTATTAGTGTATTTTCAAAGCCTCATGGGAACTGTAGTTGTTTTTTTGTTTTATAAAGTGCATCAAACGTGTATTAAAGTGCAGCTGAAACACATTATATACTCCTGTTTAAGTAAGGTTTGCTCAAAGCCACAGTGCCCAGCCGTTTAAGGAAGTTTCTGAGTCTTTTTTAGAAAATGAAACTATATATATACAGTATTTGTGTACACTTTTTAAATATTTCCATCTTCAGCAAGCACCAGTGAGTTTGGGCCTGATAGCCACAGACAGAGTAGGAAAAACAGAGTTGACTGGTGTTGTTTTGGCCTTTTCATAGGATTTACCCACAGTCAGATAAACAGATTTGATTTATCCTTCTTTGTAAATTGTAATCTCATGATTTGTGCATTTTTGTAATCACTTCGAAGGCACAGAGCCATAGGCCAACCAGACTGGGGCCAAACAAGGGCCAGACCAGGCTGAAAGACCTGAGCAAAGCCAGCGCTTTAAAAAGTCTGAGTATTTACCTTTTCCTGTGTTTTATCTTTTAGCCACCTTAAAGAAAAATTTAAACCTTGTTATATTGTTAATGAACATTTTTATGAATGAAAACCTGAGGAAGTTTAAACAATCAATACATGCAATGTTTTAAAATGTTGTGAAGGTATTTTCTAATGACACAATATTAACTATCAGCTTTTAATTGATGAGTATCAGCTGTATGAGAGTCAGCACTCAGCCATCTGTCTTCCTGTCTGTCTGCCTGTTCGGCTAGTTGTCCCTCTGTCTGTTGTCCAGCTCAGGCTTGCCCCACAAAGCTAAAATTATTCGGGGTGTCCCCACTGACGCTCCAACTATGTGCCTGTTTCAGAGAAGCCACTCTGGTTCCAGAGACATCAGGGGGATCCAGTTTAGTGTTACACACATTCACATACTGTACGAGGTCTACGACAAACAGCAGCGAGTCAGGGTGGAGGGTGCAGCTGTCGCCCACAACCCGCCGCCATCAATCTGCACGTCACTACTGTAACAGTGGTGGAATGTAACTAAATACATTTACTCAAGTACCGGATTTAAGTATAAATCTGAAGTACTTGAACTTGAGTACTTCCATTTTGTGTAACATTACACTTCACTACATTTCAGAGGCAAATGTACTTTTTCTCAGCTACATTTAGTAAACACTTTGCAAGTAATCATTTTCTGACCCTTCCAGTCCAGTGAAAAGTATCTATCTGAAACTGTGGTGATTCTGAATTAGCATTTTTCTAAAAAAGAACAATTAACTGTTCTTTACAATACAGTAAATGAAAAACTGTGACTAAACTGAAAGCAACACTGTTACAAATCTTATGGCTATAGTAGCAAAAGTCTGACAGGGGCATATTTATGCATAATCAGTTCTTTTACATTTGCAAGGTTCAGCTTACTATGTAAAGTGCCTTGCGATGGTTTTTGCCATGATTTGGCGCTATACAAACACAAGTGAACTGTCATTAAAACTGAAGTTAAAAGGGATTGTTCAAGTCCTTGTTTAACACAATGATGCTTTGAAAGATCAGACTGGAAGCACTTTGGTCTTTTCATGCCCTGAGCTGACAGGAGGAGAAGCTGGCTCTGAGTGCGCTTGTGTCAGCCAGCCAGCCAGCGGTTCGTTGACTAATTATTGAGCTTGTTTATCTCATTAGGCTTTGATTGATCTGCCAACTGATGGACTGGCAACTGAGCACCCTGTGTGTGTCTGCTGTACATCAGACGGAGTGGGGTAATCGATATTAACAGCACAGGGAAGAGTTTAACTGTTATGCAACCTTATTAACTGGCAGCGGCTGCTGCAAAGGGGTGTAGGTGGGAGGGGGTGGGTGGTATCTGAAGGTCAGGGCAGTGCACGGCTGCACTGACACGACTTTTAACTGTGTCAAACTGCCACACACACAGCGACACACACAGTAACAAGACAGTGTTTATAATCGGACATATCCAATGTTTCCCACTTCTTTGGTGACATATCACTCAGAATGCATCATTGTTTTTAAAACCCTAATAAAAAATATAAATTAAATAAATAAAGTTAAGCTATTTAAACATACTACACTTTTAAAGCAGACTTTATGTTGTTTGTTATTTGACAGCTTAAATCAATATCACAATAACAAATTACAGTAAATCCAAAATAAAATAAAATAACATTGGTCCAAAAAACCTTTGGCTTTTCATCGCTGATGACAGTGTTAATAAAAGGTGATAAAAGAACATATTCTTGTTTATGCACGTTCAGTCACAGTCACAGGTCTTAGGTGGTCGTCTGGTTTGTCTTGGATGAAGCTGTCCATCCACCATTAACATCTTTTTCAGCACTGGTTTCTTCTGGCATTCCCACTGCTGCATGTACATACAAGAACACACGCACTTCACTTGAATTAATTTCCACTGTGAATTTACATTTTCGGTCACGTATGTAGAGTTTGCCAAATGGATTTTTGTTTTACATCTTGGGAGGTTGTTTTTGCAGCTCAGACCTCACTGCACTGACTTCCCCCCAGAAATTAAGAGAAGGAAAAAACAAACAAAAAGAGGAGTGCTGCTGAGTCACCCTCCAATTCACAACACAAACCAAACAAAACAGGTTGTTTACCATCAGAATGCGGATTTGGGATCCAGACACCAGGAAAACTGCAAGCATTTTTGGAAAGCTTATTTAAGGCAGCGTGGGAACGTTTTTATATATTTGTTTATTTTCATCCTTTACTTCTCTGAGGGGGAATTCCACACCTTCACACCTGGGAGCTTCCCAGTATAACCACAGCTCTGCACTGCTGGGAGGTAGCAGCTCGAATGGGACAGGTTGGAATATGAACCAAGGGCCTCGGAGAGCCAAGCCTGCTTCTATAAGCTTTAAACTGCCACCGCTGCCCTTTACAGAACAGAAAATAGGCCTGAACAAACCAGATGACACCAGACTAGTCTGACTGTTTTACATCAGTACCTCAGTGAATCCAAATCAGCAATTGGGATATTAAGGGAAAATGTTGATGCCACTACTCTCCACATCGGTTTACATGTTACACCATGCATATGAGCCATGGCCACTTAATATGGAACCTAAAACAGTTTCAAGACTAATAAACAAACAAGACTGATATTTACTTGACAAATGTTAATGTTCAACTAACGTGTGTCACTGACTAAAGTCTGAATAACAAACAGATATAATCTACAGGCAATTCTCACAAGTTACAAGCTTCTTTTAAGGCCTTAAATCAATAGAAACTGCACCAGTAAATCCCAACTTCGGAGTGACCCTTCGTTTAGTTTGTCCAGGTGGTCTCTGCTCCTTCAGCTCATCATTCGTGCAAGACTTTCAGGATCTTTGTGTCGAGAAAACAAACAGATATAAGAGCTCACAGTTCTGATATCAACTGCCCATTCACCTTTAGTTTTCCCTGTGACGCAACAGCTCAGGGAGGGCACAGAAAGGCCGAACTGCAAAAACCAGGCTTCCCTTTTCTACACAAACACACACACACACCTTAAAGCCTTCTGCATTCCCACTGCGCCATTCAGGATCAAATATGCATCAAATTATATAAGAGAGATTCTTACGTAACAACTTTATCCCGTTCCCGATCCGACTGTGTGCGTATGTGTGTTTTCATGCTGAGGTCTATGGATAATGAGGCCATATTTGCAGGGGCACAACACAGAAACAGAGGGAGAGAAGGAGGAAGAGAGGAGAGTTAAATATAACTCCTCTGGCCCTCAGCAGTATCCAGGAGAGGAGAGGAAAGTTAAGGAGATGAGACGAGAGGATACTGTTAATTTCTAATTATTTGTGCTTATTAAGGTTAACAGAAAAACTACTTTTTTATGTGAGCATCTATTCTTTTAATCCTTTTATATCCAGCCTGTTTCCAGTGCTTATCCAGGGATTCAAACTAGCAACCTCAAAATAATAAATCTTTAAATGTTAGTCTAAAAATATATGATATTAGTTTTGCTTGAAGTGAAAACTCCATCTGCAGGTAAAGATCCACTGATATGACTGAAAGCTCCAGAACTAAATGGACCTTATGGTGGAACTAATATATCACGTTAGGTGTGTAGATAATACTCCATCCTTGTCCCAGGTTATTATAATTAAAGGTTACTATCTATGATTCAGTATGCATGCACCGAGGTGTTTTGCTGTTGTTGCTGATGTTAAATTTGAGGATTTTAGGAGTCCAGTAGTGTCCCTGCCCAAGCCTGACCTCACGCCTCTTCTGCTGCCAGTTCCTCGGCTAAGCCCAGCTCAGATCACCAGGGCCAAGCAGCGCTCACTTCAACGTACACAGACGCTGCCGACAAAAAGAAGCACCCCACAGACAGAAGCATAACATATAGTAGAGCACTCTGTCACCACATACCAGCCTCTGTGCCCAGCGCTGGAATCCACAGCTCTGGCATTTGTGCCTGCCACAAACCAGACGGGAAACCTTTAACAGCCTGAGGTCGGACTGAGAAAGAGATAGGAATAAATTACAGTGTCTGGTTTGGTGAGAGAGTGAAAACCAACTGGGAGTGTGAGGGGGTTCATGTAGGCCTGGCTCTGTCTGTGTATGTACTGGATGTGTGTGTGTGTGTGTGTGAATGTGTGTGTGAATGTGCACCTTTGTGTGTAAGCATGGAGATACAGTGTAACTCTATGTGCATACGTCTGTGTGAATGTGTTGATATGC